AATGGAATAATTTGATATCACTCGCAGCAAATATTAGAAAAAGAAAGCTTCTTTTAATTAATAGCGGAGAAATCAAACTCAACAATAATTAAGCAGCAGGTCAGCTTCATCAATTTCCTTGGAATTTAGACAAATGATAGATCTTCCATTTGGCAGCGCATTCCTGAGAATTTCCACCAAACACAACTTGACAAAACCAACATCTTAAACCACCAAGAACAAAAGGCTGTAATGGACAGAAACTTCAATTAGCCTCTCTTTTTCTAGAATCAGCAGACATCAATGGAATAGTAAAAGATAAACATCCGAGTGTTCACCGTAGTCTTTGTAGATTTTTTCAGCAGCATTGCAGAAACTACCTGCTCATTGTAAACTAGTAGAAAATTGAAGAGAAAATCGAAGTAAAACAAGAAACATACCGCTGAGTGTCTTCCAAGTGGTTCTGTTTGATTGCCGAGCAGAGACTAGAGCTACCAGAGAGTGAAGAAGCAGCACAACGACTAGACGAGAGAGTGCGCCCGAGCTCCACATTCCGACGAAATTAGCAGCACGGAACGAACTTCCGGCAGCCTCTTCCTGAATGAAATTCCGGCGTATTTCTCAGGTAAATGCGTCGGGGAAGAACTGTGAACTGAAATGTGAAGGCGTGAAGCTGAAGCTGTTGGTGTGAACGTTTCACTTCATGCTGGCCTTTCCGGCACGTTTATAGTCTTTCCTTTATAAGCATTATTTTTTATTTTCAATTTTTGCCAGATTTTTTTATTATCGTTGAGGCAAATCCAAATGATAGTTTAAATTCGTAAAAGTCCTTGTACGGATCATAAATTTAATAATAATTAAATTATTGACAACATTTTTTTTTAAAATGAGTTATAGATATTGATTTAAACAAGTATAAATAGAAATCTCAATTACAAAATGAAAATTAAATTTAAAACTAAAATGTCTTACTTAATTGCTTAAATCAATATATATAACTTTTTTTTCTAAAAAAAATAAAAAACCGCTTTGTTAATAGTTCATCATAAGTACAACATGTGAAAGGTTTTATACTATTCATGTAAAGTTGTGAGCATATAGAATATGGTATGTGTTTATAAGGAAAATGACAGTATCAGTTTCTTAATTTTGCAATTACTCACATTCAGGTACCTCAGTTTCAACGATTAACAAGTTAATGACAGCCTATAAAAATGTATAGGCTTTTTGCTTAAGGTAACTCGAAGATGCCTCAACTGCAATGTTTGGGTAGCTAGAAAAAAGAAAAGCAATGTTTTAAAAATTAAACTGGACAATGAATCAAAAATATTAGTGAGTCATTGATTTCATGGTTCAATTGGTAGTTAAACTAGTGATATAATAATTAAATAAAAAATAATATTTATATACATATGTATTAAAAAATGAGTCAAAACAGTTCGACCACTCCGAATTTCGGGTTTTTGCTCCAGGTCTTTAAAAACCGCTTGGGTCAAAGTGGGCTAACCCGGGTCAATTGTCAAAATGGGCCAAATAGTAGAACCAGACCATTTTTTTTTCCAGATGACGTTTCAACTGATCCGACCGTTCGGGTCAGTCTAGATCTTAAAATAATGAAGAAGAGTCACCCCTTTTAAGAAAATTAATTATTTTTTTTCAATTTTTTATTGATAACTTGCATAAATTAAGGAAATTAATTAAAATAAATAGTTTAAATAAAAACATATTATTTTTATAAACATGTATAAGGTTTTTAATCCTTATAATATGGACATTGAATGAAATTTTAAAAAAAGTAATTCAATTGATAAATTAAATTAGAGTTAGAATTAGCGAGGCCTCAACGTATCCTCAATTACTTACTTCTTTGTTTTCTCCTTTTCCTTTCATTACACATCGCAGCCATTAGACATGACATGACAGCTATCTCGGGTCCACACCAAAAGAGCAGTTATCCACATGGCGATAATTCATTGGTGGTTTGGTTGCAGTTTCACCGGACGCGCAAAACGGTCCCATTTTTTGAGCGTTGGCGCCATCGCAAGAGGTGAATTCATGCGATTTTTTAAAAAATATATTATATATTAATATATAAATTTAAGTGTGTGGTGCATTTGCATAAAATTTAAAATAAATTATACTCCTTTTATTTAAAAATATAAAATATTTTAATCAAACATCACCTCTAATAAAATAATTATTTATTTTTTAACTAATTTTATATTTTCATATTTATCTCTATTAAACATCCTACAATAAATATAAAATTATTATCAATAAGGTACTTTAAAAAAATGATTATACTTCAAAAAATTAAAAATATTTTATATTTTTAACATCTAACTCTTCAAAAAATATCTTATATTTTTAAATAAAGGGAATATACTTTATCACATGAATCACGAATGTGAATTCGTGATTACTCTATTTAATGTTATAAGATATTTTTTTTAAACATTATATTTAAAGATATAAAGTATTTTAAATTTTTAAAAGTGTAATTAATAATATTTTTTAAAACACCTTTAACTAAGGGGTATAACTGATCAAGTTTTCTAATCAAGACACTATATTAAATAAGGTTAAAAATGAAAAAGAATATGTAATTTTATATGTCATCAGCAAACTTATTGAAGGTGTAAAATGTAAACTAGTTAAAAATGTTTCATAATTAAGTCTGAATTGAGGGAGTATAATTTTTATGAGAGATCCATATTTTTTTCATGTAAGCATTTTGGCACAGCTCACAAGTAAATATTCTACAATATTTGCATGCTGTACAAATTAGATTGAAATATTCAACTTTTATAAATTTTAGATTCAACAAATGTAACACTAACAATTAAAAAACTAATAATTAAAAGTATTTCAAAATCAAAATTATTTAGATTCATATTTTTCTAAAATAAATCTAATAGTAAGTTTATCATAAATTAGTAAATCTTATTGAACATCGCAAATGATAAAATTTTGAATTTAAGAAAAAGAATTATTTATTCAATGCTAAACATAATAAATTAGTTTTACTAATTCTTATTGGTTCAATATTAAAATTTACATTCAGATCAAAAAATGTTGATTTTTGAGTGATTTAATGCTAAAAATATTTTTTAAGAAAATTCGTTTTTATCAATTCATTCGGTTTTGAACTTAATTTTCATTGACATTGAAGGATGAATGAATAAAAATCACAATCAGTTCAAGATAATTTTTTAACATGTGAATTTTCACCGTGATACAGGGGGGACTTTATTGTTTCAAGTATTTGATATTAGTTGAGACTTGAAAGAGAATAATCCTTATTATGGCAATGTCAATATGCAAAAAAAGAAAGGGCTATTTTACTTGTCTTTTTGAATTGCCATCCCTAATTGGCCAGACTTCACAAATTATTGTGCCTATTATTAGAATCAATTTTACTTTTTAAATGCAAAATACGTAATAGGCAGCTTGCCATTTTTTTTTGGATTAAATGACAAATTAACCCTAAAAAGTGTTTAGAACTTTAAATTTATTTTTAGGATAATATTTTTCTTTAATTTTTAAAAACAAGTTTAGGGTTTTAGATGTTCTTAAACATATTAAAGATTAATTTACCATTTAACCTTATTTTTTGGGAGATTAATAGTAAAGTTTTGAAAAAGAAAATTAGTGACAATTAGATTTCTAAGAATTTCAATTGAAAGTTGAAAGTTACATTTTGAATTGAGATGTCTTATTTACAATTAAAAATTATAAATTTATAATTATTTAAATCAATATTTATAATTAATTTTTCAAAATATTTTATTAAAGATCTAACCGTCATTAATTCTTTTTTTAATGCAAAAGTAGGTACCATATATATAAATGTATTCTTTTTATTCGGATACAACTATCTAATATTTAGCTTTGTTATTTGATTATATTTCAATATTCAGACTTAATTAAAAGTAGTGTTTTAACCGGTTTAAATCATCCAAAGTTAGTTGTATGTATACATTACTACTAGAAATTTTAATGATAATAACATTTTCAAAGTCCAGAGACTACTATTGTTGAAATATTGAATTTGTCAGAGACAAAAATTTTGGATGAAACAAAAACAATGTAGTTTTCTGTACTTACACAATATTGCTTGAAAAATTTGATACATGAAAATTTCATCAAATTTTGACAAACTAAAAAAAAAATTAGTAGAACACCGAAATTCTCCATCTCAAAGCCAAGATATTGATACAATGGAAGATAGAGCAGACCCTTGTACTAAGAAAGTAGGCAATGTTACATTTCAAGTAAAAAAGAATACAAATGCCATGTGCTATCAATTAAAAGTCATTTGGGCCCTAGTAATAATAATAATTTAAAATCTTAGGTTTTGGGGCCAAAAAATGAAAAGGATAAGAAACGTTGTAACTTTAAATAAGTGGTCACAATTTAATTAAAAGTATTATTATTTGTACTTACAGGCACTGTGACAGAAACGGGTTATGCTTTTGCCAATCTTGATTTTGCTATAAATAATCAGGATATATTTATAATGCATTTCTTTACGTGCAGTGTATTTTTTTGTTTTGGTAAATATATGTGTAGTGTATTTATTAAGCGTATGAGCAAGTCGGATATAGTTTTTATTATTATGACAATAAGTAAATAAGAACATTTCCCATAATGGTGTATTGGATGTAAATTCCAATCTTCTGACTCTGTCCAATAAACTTCCCTCGTTCTTTTGGGATTAGTAAAAGATATGGACAATGTTTTCAGCTCGTGGCCGATTTTCAGAAAAATTATATTAAATGATAAAAATTCTAGAAAAATCTGAATAAAATTTCTAATTATTATAATTTCCTTCAAAGACCAAAGTTACAACTAAATTTTGAAGAACTTATCATTATTTGTTAAAAAAAAAAATACTTTATAATGATTTTCTCAACAAAAAAAAATACTGCTGTAAAACAGAGTGATAATCTTAATCTTTGAAAATAATTATAATTTTTAATTATTTTGAGAAAACTAAACTAAACAAGCTTATCCTCCCATGAACCAACTTGTTGGTTTAATGAAGAAAAAGTTCCCACGGATAGTCATATATTACATTTACGCATGAACTATGTTTGATACACATTCAATTTACCATTGAGAATAAGCAACATAACTTTGATTGACAACCCCTTCTCCTTCATGTAATAAAACATTTAAAAATAATAGTAATACCACCACATCTAGAAGACCAACTTCATGACATAGATACCAAATTATTATCTTTTCCTCTCCCCTATCTTCATGCCGGAGCCGGGGCTACTGTCCTTAGCACGGAAAATGCAGGCAACGGTGGATCCGCCACGCTTGTATCGTTCAACACCGGAAGTGGAGGAGCAGGAGGTGGAAGGTATTCCTGGCTAATTTTTTTCAAAAGACGGCCAGGTTCAATAGGGCTCATATATGGAGGAGTTTTATTGCCAAGATTTAAACACAAGTTCTCTGCAACAAACTCATCAACTGTCAGATAATGACTAATGGCTTCAGATATGACATTTTAATAGCTTAGACCCTAAACAATCCTGAAAGCGATCATGCATGAATCTACACATAAAATATTAGTCAGTTAATGTTCTTTGCTTTGGAGTATGATAGTTTGGAGAACTACATTATCATGCAAAATTTAAGCCTGGAATGTTATCCTGTTATCTCCCGGTCCCCGGTATCTTATATGTTTGGTATGAGTTTTGTAACTACATTCGAAAAGATGATTGCATAGTGCATTTGGAAAAAAGATTAAAAAAAGGAAAAAAAAAAAAAGATCATTGAGTATAATATATATATATATATATATATATATATGATATGGATCCAAGAGACAGACACATTTTTTATTCAGCTTTTTCTATGAATGTATGTAGGGAATTTAATTTAGTTTGATAAATCAATTGAAAGATGTCACAAAAAGCATACAAATGGGTTTTTATTTTTTTATTTTTTTGGAAGTTAATGGAGCTAAAATTGCATGGATGTCAGATCCCAAGCTTTAGTGACATCCAATGCTTCAGGTTTGGTTTAGATTAAGGGAAAAGTAAGAAGAAAATAGGGAAAAGAGAAAATAACGAGGGAAACTTTCCAATTCTCTCATAGTTTTTCCTTCCTCGTTATTTTTTTCCTGTCCAAACTGAGGGTTATTTTGTCTTGTATGACACCAGACACCGTCTTCAAAAAAGGATACCGAACACCAAACATGAGCTTATTGAGATACTACTCGACATCCAAGATACCAACATTAAGATAACAGAGCACTAAATGCCTTTTGAAGATATGAATTTTCTAGAATGCTTGCTAAAGAAGCAAAGTTCTATGAAAAAGTGTAAACTTACTTCGGTATCTATCAGCTGTCTTGGGAAAGTCAGTGATAATGCCATCAACTTTGGCTCCAATGACAAATGAATTTATCTCAACAAATGCATCTGAGTAGTAGTCCCATGCCTGAGATACAAACTCATTGCTGAAGGTTTCCACATACACAGAGAGGTTGAATGAATGTAGCTTTGATACAGTCTTTGTGGAGTTAACAAGAAAGGCCGAATTTTCTGGGAAAACCGATGACTTTCCAATGACCACAGAATCAGCAAATGTCTTGATGTCCTTGACAGCTGAATCAAGAGCATCATAAATATCCTCTTTAACTTTGTATACCCTTTCATATTTGGAATTTCCCTTAAATTCCATCAGTACAGAGCTATGAGTGGACTGTATCATGACTTTTTGAGGCCCTGACTTATCATAGCCTGCTTTGTTCAAAGCATCAAGGACTGCATTGGTCACTCTTAATCCCTGCCGCTCAGCAAGGTAGGCTGCATTCTATTATGAATAAGCAATACAAAACTATCATCAACAAATCACAATCCCAAATAATCATGGCAGAAAAGTGATTCATCACATATTGATGGCAATTAAAGTAATCATTCTTGATGTTGGGAAACGCACAAATGATAGGTGAAAATAAAAAGGATAAAACAATTAGAAATTTTAGAGAAGTTGGAGGAAATGATAAAAGATGACATGAAAAGTTTAACGTGGGAAACCCCCAACATGAGGGGAAAAAAAAAACTCGCATGCAATGAATAAGAAATTTCATCATAGAAAATGAGAATTATAATAATTGTTTTATCTATGGAATGGAGATACGGGATATATATAGAGCTTCTCATAAACTAAAAATATTAACTTGGTTAATGAATAATATCCCCTAAAATCTCAATTATAAATATAATAGAGATATGATAGATTTTAAGGCAAGAAAATATATAAAAATAATCACAAAGGATTATAAAGATTTGAGTCATAATTTCGATACTAGAAAAACAGAATTGCTATGTGGAAATCACTATTGCACTTCTGGTTTTCCTTGCCATGACTATTTAGGAGGAGCCAAGAATTAAATCATAGGAAATTCACAAGAAGATCATTTTCAAGAAGCCTCTTTCAAATTTTAATATAGAAAGAATCTTGTGCTCACCTAAAATTGAGGATTTTACATGACCATATTGCAGAAAGTGGACACAGATGCTAATAATCACTATTCAAAGAATGATGATACCAAGGTTTTAAAAGCAAATATCACCCTGCAAAAAAGTCTTTCATAAAGCTACCTATTATTATTTATCTATACCTGGTCATGTGGTGACCAACATAATCATAAGATTCAGATTGCAGAGTAATTTTCTGTGAGAAACAAAAGGTTACAGAAGAGCAAGTGCCCCGAAGAAACAAATTTGAAATTTGCAGGCAAAACTCACCTCTATGCTGAGTAAGATGCCATGTGGCTGACCTTTTGTCAAGTTCAAAAACTCAGATAAGGTTAAAAGTGTCCCTTCATTTTTTGCTTTTGGATTCCGGAACAGTGTGTATTTTGAATAGGGGTTCAATATTGAGGCTGCAAAGAAAAACAGAGAATGAAGAAAATAGAAGAATGTTAAATTTATTGAGGACACATTTCATAATCTTTTACTCTGCCATGACAAACATCACAACAGTGCCAAAATATAGCAAAGCTAAAATGGCTAATATCTTTTTTTCTGCTTTAACATAAAGGCATGGGCATGCCAAGAAAATAAAAGTTATTATATGTTAACTGTAACTGTCCCCCAACCACAAGTAGCGTTCATAGAGGACAAAGGTTTTATAGTAAATTTGAAAATATTTGGCAGCTATAGATTTTTTATTTACATGAATATTTCAATCTACAATATAAAGAATTAAGCTATTTTTCCTCCCTTGAAAGAATAATTTCTTTAGTGAATCCATTACTAACTTTTTTCCATGCATTTATCATTGTATAGGATCTTGGCTGCCAATCAAGACTTCAAAGCAATGTACCGAAAACCAAACTGGTTAAGATATTGGTTCAAAGGTTAATGGTCAAAACCATAATTGAACCATGATCGAATCGATTATAAAAAACATTTTATTAAACTAGTCAATACACTAGTTTACCACCGGTTCAACTGAGCAGGTTAACCCAAATCTCCATACTATGCTTCAAAGTAAATCCTTTTGACAAATTTTTAAACAATTGCAACTTCCAAGTTCCCCGATTAATATCCAGCAGAGGATGGAAATCAAGGTAAGGAATGTAGATTCAACAATAGATTTAACTTACGTGTCAAATTTTTTATCTCATTCCATGTCAAGTTGAATGCATATATGCCACTGCCAGGCTTGATCTCTGGGATAGATGCTGCACGGTTGGCGAAACTTGTTGCAGCAACTGTCGTGCTGTCAATTAGGTCAATAGAGCTTAAGCAAAATGGTATTCCATCCTTGGACATTTGAACAGGACAATCAAGTACATCAGCACCATCTAATTTAGCTTTTTCATAAGCCAAGTCAGTGCAAGCAGGATAGTCTCCACTTGCTCCATATTTTGATATAACCAAAGTGTCCACTGTGAAGAAGCAGGAACAGGTCAACAAAAAAGTTATAAAACTTACACATGCTATAACTTTTTTATTTCTTTTTTTTTTTGGTTTTGTTTTTTGCTTTCGCTCCAGTATCTTAGATCTTTGATCTAGATTGATCCAGTAGGAAACTTGCAAGCACCTCTTTGGGGGGGCATATCTCCTGTCGAGAATTTAATTGCTGCTGTCTACCTAAGACTCGAACTTAAAACCCCTGGTTAAGAGGGACCAGCCAGTTGATCCAAGTGCCTGGTGGTTCATGCTCTAATTTTGTCTCCATGCAACAATAACAAGCTTTATCCTACTAGGAGGGTTTTTCCCCATGTAAATAAAGAAATAAATCATATTGATTGAGAGTAAAACTAACTAAATACCTTTCCTAGTTGCATTTTCCCCTATGCCAGAAAAGCAATCTGCAGCAGAGAAGAATTCAGAATATCAATTGGAATGTTATTTGAAATTAGAAACCATAAATAATGAACATTAGCTAAGGATAATATGCTAATTATCATTTCATGATTTATAAGCTAGAAAAATGCATGTAACTCATTGCCTCAACAAATTACATTTTCATCTTCTGCTTATGAACAATACAGTATCATGTCCGAATAGATAGATCATTTCCCTGTTAAAATTATTCTGGAAATACATCTTACCAGACTGCAGACTGCAGTACTTATCATGGGTCATATTAAGGAGTCAATACGAAGAGGATAAACCTATAAAGTGGGGAAACTTTACTAGAGCAAAAGGAATAAGAGCTACAAAAATCAGGCATCATTAAAATAAAGTTGACGGGTACCTAAGTGAGTGGGATGGGGAACCCTACTCCAAAAGCTAACTATTGATGTGAGAGAGAACTAACCTACTTAAATACTTCATTGAACATCCCACACTACTTAATGCATGACTTAGTATCCCATACTATTAAGTTTCCATCAGAAGCCATGTTAGTTTGAAAAATAATTAAGAACCATGAATGACAGTGCAGCAAGAGGTCAATTTCTTCAGTAATATGACAGGGATCCCTAAAATTTCTCAAGGCCCCTATTTCATCTTTCAGAGTAGAGAAAACTTACTTATGGCTGCAGATGGAGTGATTGGGAAGTCAGACAGAAAACCATCAACAGAGAAGATATTGTTGTCAATGAAAGACAGGCACTCGGCTAGAGGGTCATAACTGTAATTGTAGCTAAGTACAAAATCATTTACAAGGTCTGATACAAAAACTTGAAGCCCTTCTTTATGAGCATCTGGGACAACCGAAGTGTATGGCTGTAGATAAAGGTCTGGGTCTGTAGGCCATATGTAACCCTTGGGAACAAGAATTCCTGAAGCAAATGTCTTCACAAATTTGAGGTTTTTCAAGAGTGAACCATAAGTCTGATTAGTTGTAGGTTCAACCTCATTCTGCTTTAGAAACCTGAAGATCAGTGTGGTTGTTCTATAACTTCTGATTGATCTGATTTCTCTCAAGAAACCCACCTCAGGTGAAGAGATGTAGCTCACAGATACTCTATGAGAAGATAGGAACCTGGCCGCACTCAATTTCTGCCCCTTGAAGAATGCATCATTCTGCATTGCATTAGAAGACATCAAGTCAAATAATATAGATATAAAATCAGATTCTATCAAGCACTAGGGCTTTGTTTGGAATGGGGAAAAAAATAGAAAAGAAAGAAAACTGGAGGAAAAAGACATTTTTCACCCTTGTTTCCCCCTAGCTTCCACATCTCTAGGAGAAAAACTAAAGGAAAATTTTAATGCTATGAAGGAAAAATGTCTTTTTTTTTCTACTTTTCTCCTCAAATTTTCTCTCTTCCCTATTACTTTCTCATTCCAAATGGAGGCTAACTCTCGAGTATTGCCTTGAAACACAAGAATGAAGCTCTCTACTGGGGCAAAAGGAGCATATCGTCAAGCACTTACCTGAACATTCAACCACAGGCCATTTGGCTTTGCTAATTTGACTACTGCTTCGACTTTGAGAATTCTAAATTTATTGCCATCAAATTTATTAGTGCGAGTGTAGACTCCCTGAACAACTGACAAGTAAAAAGAGAATTGTCAATGATTATAAGCACATCACATGACTCAAAAGCACAAAAGCAGAGAAACAAATTCTCCACTTCTGGGCAATTATCAAATGCAAGCACAAAATTAACCGGTTTAGTACTTCAGGAAAAAAAAAATTTAACAAAAAAGTGACAATGATATATTACTCAAACATGAAGATTATCATGATCTCCTAACATTATTGGATTCTCTTTCGCCAAGTGTGTTAATTCTTGCTGACACCCAGACGTTAATTTACTTTACTCACCCACCTAATTATCAAGGTATTTTATTTTATTTTTTTGGGTTGAAATTATCAAGGTAGTTTAATAATCCCATTTAGTTGATGAAAAAGAGAGAATTCAACAAATTCAAAGTGGGGAAAAAAATTAACCAACAAAATGATTTGAGTGTTGGACCAGGGAGTATCTTGGAAGAGAAGAGAACGCTAGGCACCCAACTGTTACAAGAGAATATATATGAGTGAATATGACATGACATCCTAATCCAAAACCTTGAGAAATTGAATTTATGAGTCCTTTTCACTTGCCTTCTCCAACTCAACCCCAAATTTTGGCTTTTTCTCATATCAAGCTAACTTACACTACATCCCAACAATCTTCCTCTCAAGTGGAAATTTATCATTTAACTATACAAGCATACTTCGCCTATTCGCGTAAACCTACTCAGCCCAATAATCTTCACAATGGATCTTTTACCACAACCAGGCTTTGATATCACTTGAATATAATTATTTAATTAATTAATTCTCTCAAATTCTCTAACCCAGCTTTGCAATAAAAATAAAATTGACAGTTAAAAGGGTGTAAGTTGAACCTCTATCCAATGGGTTCACTTATATAATCTACCTATCACATTACGATCTATACAAAATCACAAAGAACAATATACTCTGCGCTTAATAATTAACCAAACTTAAAACTCATAATTAATTAATGTAAATCCACAGTTTATAAAATATTCCCAACATCAAAAAAGCAAGAACGATTAACTACACTTTTTTTTTTATAAGAAGAACGATTAACTACACCGTTATCTCATTGATTCGTATGTTGAACAGAAAATAAATTGGGCCTCACGAGATACAGACGCAAGCTCGCTCAAGTTGTAATCAACGGTAAACCATCCTCTGGTTGGAACACCATTCACAGTGTGAACCCTAGCTTTGTTCAAGTAAATGTTGGCAATGTCTGTTGCATTGTCCAGCTTCAACTCTGGCAAGCAAATTCCTGCTCCGTCCTTCGTCAATTGCAAATCGCACCACACAACCACCTTCGATGTACTTGTGTTTAGTGCCAATTCGTACGCAGCGCGGCTAGAATCCGGAAATATGCCCGGAAACCCTCCACGCGCCACCACCAGCGGCGGAGATCCTGCACCGCAACCACCGTGTCATTGAACTAGCATCTTCACAACAATAAAAGCCGCCAAGTTGCAGCCAACTTCTTTACTACTTTAATGGTAAAAATTAAAACTGGTTTTTGATTATTGATAAACCAACCCCAGATTATAAAATAGTAAAACCAAATACTAAGAATTTGGTCCAAAAAAAGATATGAAGTACCAAGAAACAAGTAATAAATGCATACTATGCTGATTTTGGTATCTGACTAACGTTATTTAATTTCAAGGGCATTTTATTCACAAAAACAGATAACACTGACTTAATGAAAATAATCAAATTAACAAAACTCAAAAATTTCAAAAATCAAGATCAATTACTTCTTTCCCAAGAATGAGAAGTTCGTGACTTTATATTATTCATTCATCACTTCACTCATGAGAATAGAAGAACAAATCATAAAAATAGAACCAAATAAAAAAAACAGAGGAAAAAAACATAAAAATCCAACTTATTTTATTATGGGCATGTATGTCTTTCTCTTGAAGCTGAGAAGAACACAGTTAAAAAAAAAAAATCAAAAGCGAATAATATATACCTCCCAATGTTTTCCAGGTAGGTCCAGAAGAAGAGACCAAGGCTATCAGTGAATGAAGAATAAGCAGAGCAAGCAGGCGAGTGCGAGTCTTCAAGCCCAACATAGTACAATATTCAAAATTTTCCCCACAACAAATTTTCCGTGGTGTTTTCCCGGGAAACAAACTTATTGTGAGACTAGAAAGTTGAAACAGAAGCAAGTCTAGTTATGATGAAGAGAAGCAGCTGTCTGATATATAATAAACAGGATCAATCAGAGGCATAGGATACCACACCTTGGCCCCTTTCTTCTTCTGTTCATGTACGTGTTTGTACATGTAAAATCACGCGGTTTTGAAACTAAATAGATTCAAATGTAGGCTTTCAACGTTACACAAAGTTGTCTGGAATTTTATAGCTTCAACGGTTGACGGAAAGCAATGAAAGAAGTGGGGGAAAAAATGCAAGAGCGAGGCCGAGGAAGAAGACGAAGAGGTGAGAGAGAAGCTTGTGTTGGCCGTAGAGTGAGTACCGTAGCTAACTAATATTTCTGCGCATTTATGTGCGCTTTAAATTGTACAGTATATAAAATAGCTTCATATCAATATGGGCTCATTCACTTTGATCAAAAAAATATAAAATATTTTTAATTAAATCTCATATTTTAATAAAATTATTACTTATTTTTAATTTAATTTTATTTTTTTATATTTATTTTTATTAAACACTCAATAATAAATATAAAGTCATTATTAATAGAAGTATTTTAAAAAAAAAATAATGATTACACCTCAAAAGATTAAAAATACCTTACATTTTTAAATATCCAACTCCTCCAAAAATATCTTATATTTTTTAAATGGAGGAAGTAGTTAGTATAAGTATTCATGAACACAAAAAAACATTTAATTAGATTATTAAACTTAAAAGAATAAAAATATAATTCAAAATTTTAATGGAAGATTTTTATTTATTATCAAATTTTAAATTTATAAAATCGATTAATAAATTATAAAGGACAAGGTATATTATACAACACGGTCCTTGTGAAACTTCAGTATATAAAAAGCAAGAAAAAATTAATATCAGATTAGTAATTAATATTTTAATGCATATCAATTCTTTTCATGTGTTACTTCTAATATATTTTATTATAGTTAAATAAAATTTTAAAATTAATTAATTTTATATAAAAATTTAATAAATTTTCAATTTTTATCCATATTAAAAATTCATGTTTTAATAATATATTTTTTCTTTTCAATATTTAATGGGTGTAATGGGGCAGTGAATATGTGATAAAAATTTTAAAGACATATTTTATAAATAAGATTAAAAAACTTTTTTTTTCTTATAAATAAGATCGGAACAGTATTTCTTTGAGTCATAGTCTAACGTGCGACAGCTCCTAACAAGATTCCTTTTCAGCCATTTAAGATAAAGGACGATGAACATTAGTATTAGGCAACAAGAAGAAAAGGCTAAGATGTGCAGTACATGTGAAGTTGTGTGTTGTGAGGATGAAGATTGCCACTTCGCTTCAACATGTTGAAACTTTATCTGAAAATAGTGCCGTCTATTTAAAAAAAATGTTATTTTTATTCAATCACGAGTTCACGACTTGGTATTATCAGCGATATATTTGTGTATAAAAATTTTAATTTTCCAGCTAAGATCAATTTGGAAATGCTTGTCAAAGGAGCTTGATTGACGCTTAACGCTATAGTGTTGAAGAAATACATCACATAAATAGATTAATTTTTATTTTATTTTATTAAGATTACATAAATCCCCCTTTTATTTCCAAAACCAGCATAATTTCTTTACAACTTCAAAAAATTTTACTGTCTATTCAAAAATTTAAGAAATTTGTAAGTTAATCTTACCTCAAAAGTAATTAATTATCTTTAAATTGATAACATATTTTTATATCTACCCTTATTTAATTAAATGTTTTACTTTAAAGTAAATATAAAGTTGTTTATTTATTATGAGTACTTCTGAAAAAAATACATTAATTACATTTTAAAACACTAAAATTATCTTATATTTTATAACATTTAACCCTTTAAAAAATAACTTACATTTTTTAACATAAGAAGTACAATTTTTTAAGAATTTATATAGAACTACCTTCAAACAAATAGTTGAGTTACCATCTTTTAAAATTTTATCATATATATATATATATATATATATTCTTCCTATTTTTTATATGCATAAAATTGTTTTCTTTAAAAAAAAAAGAAGAAAGGAGAGCTTTATAATTTTAACAAAGTTCATGAAATCTGTGTTATTTTATTAAAATTTAAGATGAATTCATGTGATTTGTGTAATTATTTGTTAAAAAAAAGCCGTATGCGTTTTATAAAAAAAAATTATCTGTGCGTAAAACCTTTTCACATTTGCAGAGTACTTTTGAAAATACCGTAAAATTAAATTAATGACCTTATATTTATAAAATTTGAATAAAATAATTTTCTGCTGCTAATCCTTTACAGACTTTATTTGGATCTTCTTGAAATAACAATTAATATGTCAATCATAGTAATTAAATATATATAATATAATATGTTTAAAAAGATGTATTTTTACATCAAAAAATCAGTATTATTATTAGTATTAGATATATAAGATGTTCAAATATATATCATCATTTTTTATTTAATTCAATAAATATGATTAATTTTAATAAATCTAAAGTCTTTAATGTAATTTTTTGTCATTTTGACGAAGTCAAGAAGAATAAAGACGGAACCTGAGGGCATGTTGGCTGTCATTGTTCTGACTTGGATGCATGAACATTTAATTCGTAGACTTTGTCAAATATATATATATATATATATATATATATTGATGACATTTTTATGTTTTAATTTGTAAATTAAATAATATTTAATGAAGTTGTGTAAAGAGATAGACTTTGCCTTTCGATTTGTCTATTTGGCGGAGTAGAAGTTTTTAATCTCACTTTTATTAGTTTTCTTATAACATGTTGATTTTATTAAATTAACATTTTTATTATTATGATTTTTATTAAATTTTTTTGGAATTGTTATGATGAATTTGTTAATGAACAATATATAAATATATGTCCAGTTAATTTCTGAAATCCAACTAATTTAAACATTTTTTGTAAAAAAATAATTCTAATTTTACTGGAACAACTTCCCACTCTGCTCTCTCCCAACCACATACATTGATGATGAAACATAAATTCTACAACATTGAAGAACAAAGAAGTTTCATTAAATCATGTGTTAAGAGGTACTCCCTCCGTTTTTATATATTAAAAAAATACATCACACAATTTAAGAATATTAGTTAATTATAATAATTATATCTGAAAATAAAAAAATTAAACTAAAATACTTTATGTTAATTAATATAAGTATGCATTAATTATTTATCGTTAATGTAAATTATGAAGAGTGATTTAAAAAATATATAATAAATGCTTATTGAAATATATAATTTTGCTTATATAAAAAATAAATAAAAATGATAAATTTTTCTACAAATAGAAACATAAAGAGTATAGGCCTTGTATTAATAAAATAACACTTTCTTTATTTAATTTATAAGATATTTTTAGATAAAATTACATATACTAATAAAACTAGTTGAATACACATTATAAGTTTACTTTTTCAAAATAAAAATAAAAAATTTTAAAAATATCTTTCATTTAATACTCTACTTATGAAAGAATGTTAAAAAAAAATATATGTGAATGATAATATTAAAAAAAGATCATTAATAAAACTTTATTTTTATTAAATTGTCTTATATTTCATGACGATAATTCTCCATCAAAAGTATTTTATAATTTAAAATGGAGGGAGTAGTAAAGCATTAGAAGCTAGAGGTAATTAATTACCCCTCCCTTCATTCTCTATTATAAAACACATCTAATTATCTCACTGAAATCAAGAAGTGGTAGTTAAAATTTTTAATTTATCTAAAAATATAATAAATTTTTTATTTTGTTTATGTTTAAATGAAAAAAAAATTAATTTACATTGTATTCTCCTCATAGTTAATAAATTTAAATATGAGTATTTGAAAAAAAAATGTGATTAACAATGCATCAAATGCTTTATATTAATTTAGTAATGAAAAAAAAACCTTCCAAAAAGCATCCTATAATAGAAATTAGGGAGTAATTAATCTAATAATAGAGTTTAAAAATCGGATCATGGTTGAAACTTGAAAAATGGATCAATTAAGAGTCATCCAACTGTGCCAGCTCAAGATACCATTCTTATAAACACACACACATACCCTCTTGGTCTTGGATTCCATGCGTCACTCAAAACAATAGTTTACTATTTATGCTTCCATGAATAATGTCACTTTGATATGTGTATATGTGTGTGTGTATCCCACACACATGCTGATTAACAAAGTTCACTGCCACATTTTTTTAATAAAAAAAAATACTCTTATATTTTTTTAAGGTATAATTATTATTTTTTTAAAGTATCCCTATTAATAATATATTTATTATAAGGTACTTAATATAGGTAAGTATAGAAAGATAGGGTTAGTTTGAAAGTAGGTAACAACTTTATTAAAAAAATTAATTAAAAATGTCTTATATTTTTAAATAGAGGAAATATCATTATAAAATAATTTGTATGTGGGTTTTTTCTTATATATTCAAGCATATTTTTTTGAGCTTATTTAAATTAACTCGAATAAGCTTAGTCTAACTTGTTCGAATTATCAACTTCATTTGAAGGTTGTAATAATCCATAATTTTGAGAGGCTACAAATTTTGCCTCATGCCCGCGTGTTTTCTCTTTTTAGTAATGTCCTCAACACTTCAAAGTTTTACTACACCTTCACTTGTGTATCAAGTGTCTGTTTGAATTTCAATTATATATAATAAATTATAAAAATAATTAATTAAATTATAGATTTTAATTATAATTGATTATGTTATAACACAATCTGTTTGAATGCTTTTTTTTTAAATTAATTTTAATAGAATTGAAGATATTTAGATAATTTCTTAAAAATCAATTTTAACTATATAAATTACCATAAAGAATATTATTTTTTAAAATTAAATTATTAATAAATTTTTTCTAATATTATTAAAATTGTTACATTTTATTTAAGAAGTAAAATATATTATTTAAACTACATATTTAATTAATTAAAAAATTTAAATTATATTAATATTAATAATTTAATTTATGTAAATAAATAACTTAATATATCTTAGTTCAAATAAATTTAATAAAAGAGAAATATTTAATTATTAAATATCAAATATTAATTTTACAATAATTAATAAAGATGATAATATATAAATTGATCTCTAATGACATTATCGATATGAACAATATCTGACAAAGATGTTAAACACTGTTTTAAAATTTTGACAACAAAGAAAATGTAGTAATGTCACAAAGGATATAAAATCTATCTCTCTCGACTTTTACAACAATGTTTGTCATGATTTAAATTTTAAATTAATTTTTTCTATTAATTAATATTTTATTTGAATTAGTTTTATAGTAAGGGTTGAATGAAAGGTGATGGTTAATGAAAACTTATGCTAACAACTTTTTTAAGTATACAAAATTTAAATTTTATTAAAAAAAAGAGAGTTTAGTTTTATTTTTATCAAATTATATATTTTCTTTATAATTTTTTTTGACCTTCTCTTTATAATTTTTCTCAACGTTTTTTGTCAGCTTTTTCAGAATAGCTCAGCTTTTTAACTTTGAGAAAAAATCAAATTGATTCACCCATAAAATAAGTGTTTGGATAATTTTGATTTTTAATCGATTAAACTATCAAATAATTGATTAAAAACGTTATTCAAACACGCGCTAAAAAAAAAAAAATGATGATAATATTGAGGGGACCTCCGCAAATCAATGCGTGAGACACCGTTTCTATTCACGTTTTGCCCTTTGTAAAGTCAAGTCATCGTCTTCATCAGTGTTTTTCACCATCATGTTTAAATCACCAGTCAACCTTCATCGTATTAATGGCCCATCAGGGGATCCACCAACTTGGGGAACCCGATGTGTTTGACGCCGTCAAATCATATAAGCCTATTAAATTATATTATACATCTAATCATTTATTTTTATATAAATTATATTTTAACCATGTTTTTTAATTTTTCATTCTAACATCATTAATTTTGTTATAAAAAAATTATATTTTAAACTTTTAAATATTAATAAAATATTTTTAAATATTAATTACTTTCTCTATTTTAAATTATAAAGTATTTTTAGAAAAAATTTATCGTTTCAAAATATAAGACACTTTGATAAAAATAAAATTTCATCAATAATATTTTTTAATATTACTCTTTTTATATATTCTCTCTTTTTAATATTATTTCACTTGTGGAGTATCAAATGAAGAGTATTTATAAAATTTTATAAATAGAGGGAGAAGTGAAAGTCATTGAAAGAGAAGGAAGAAGATGAGAGTCAGCTCCCCTCCACTGATATAAAGGAAAATTTGAATCTTAATTTTTATTTTTGAAATAAAAAATATACAAAAATTATAAGTTTTTTTAACAAATATACTTATCAATCCGACAATCCAGATATATATAGATAGTTCAAATTTAATATTAAAAATTTAAATTAACTTTTTAAATATATTATGAACGGTGTAGATATATTCTAAATAGAATAGTAAACTTATTAAAAAAATTTATATTAAATTTAGATTATTAAATTGATAAGTATATTTTGTTATTTTTTTACAATTTTTATATAATTTTTATTTTAAAAATATAAATTAAAATTAAAAATTAAAAATATTAAATCTAGTTCAAATTTTCCTCTACCTTAATGGAGAGGCAAAGGAAGCTTTTCTTAGTGGGGAGAAGCCAACTCTAAAAAAAATGAACATCTCGTGTGACAACTTAACAAACCCAAAACAATCAACTAACCCCAATAAGCCGTGTGTGTTCCATTTTGTTCAAACTTTAATTTTAACAGTCAACTTTATCTAGATTTAATAGTAAGATGAGATTGTTCCATTTTTAACACTTTTAAGATAATATTATATCTATTAAAAGATAAAAGTAACCAGCATTCTTTTGAAAAAACTTTGAAGTATTTTTTTTCCTTAACCCAATAATAAAATCGATTTTGTGGATATTTAGCCCAGAAGTCCATGGGCCTTAATGTCCAGCGGGGCAAGCCCCAAATAACAGGTCCAAATAGATAAAATGAGAAAACAGGCCCAACACATAATTGAAGAGTGATACTATTTGATTCTTTGTTCTGCTCTGAGATTTTCATTTTCTTCTTCCTTGTTTTCGCAGATGACATGACACAGACCTTTTGATAGATCAGAGCAATCCTTCTTTGAATTGAAGTTTCGAAGAGTCCTTCAAAATGGGATTTTCAACATGGGGTTCTTTAGGTTCTCATGTTATAGTGGTGGGCTCTCAATCTCATCAAAGAAGAACGAAGTTTCAATATTTCAGAAGGACGGACCTGAACTCTCTTAATTTCAAGTTCCAAAAACGCAGGCTTCTTCAAGGAAGGCTTTCTCTGAGTAAACACGAGTCAACTGAATTTGATGAGAGGAAAAGCCCACATGAGGTGACTGTAATATCTACTTCCCATAGTCAACTTCTTTGACGCACATGTTACTGTTGTAGCATTGCTTTTTCTGATATATTTTCATGTGCTGTTTTGTTTTGGGCAACCTATTTCTCTGCTCTAGAACTAGCTACATGGAAGTAGACCTGGATATAGATATATTTCAGTTAATTATTTTCCCTTTAAACTAGCAATTTGATTATTGGGTTGTTAGATATATTTAGCTTCTAGTCCAGAAAATAATAATTGTTGGAGACCAAAACTGAATAGACTTTGATAATCCTGCGGACAAATTGTTAGTTGATATGTTGATTTCTTCTTTGTACGTTGTTCAATATATAACTCAACAAGGAAATGTTCTACTGGATAACCGTTTAGAGACTGATCTTCATTTTGTTTAGTTCAAGGTTTAGTGAGGGAGATTGTTACAGGGAATCCGAGCCAACAAAAGGAGGTGTTTCTGTGTGAGCTTGTCTATGACAGTTTGAAATTTATCTTCTGCTCATATTGGGTCTGGGTGCTGCAATATTAAACTGATATTTTTATGGACATGATAATATAATGTGAGGACAGGAACGGGAGGATCATGTGCTTTTAACTTATACTGAATTATGAATCAATTATCACGGATTACGATTTAGTGAAATCAGTTCTCATTCTTATTTCTATTATTCCTCATGGTGCTTTTCATCATGATTAAAAAAATGTCTTGGATAATCAAATTTCAGACAGACAATAAGTAAATTATGATGGAACATTTTATGCTGAACTGTATTTGGACTTTGTGTGTCTATATGAAGTTGGGAACTGGATCTAGAATCTCTAGAAAAGCATTTTATGGTAATGCTCATGGATGTTCTTGTATGTCACTAATGACTAGCATGTGCCTTCTTATCTGTTTACGTGAAAAATAAAATTCTGGAAAAATTGGAGTTAAACTAAAAATCCAGGAAATTGACTCTCACTTTGGTTTTGGAACATGAAAGGTTAAAGAGGAGATCAAGCAATGTTATGAACTCATAAACAGGCAAGGGAGAGGAGTTGTGTATCTAGGTTCTTCAAGGATGGGGCCAAGTCATTCGCATTACATGCAAGCACAGGAGCTGGCTAAAGAGGCAAGTGTATTCTTCCTATGGCTTCCTTCCAATCCAGATAGAATAGAGGGTCTTATTAGAGCTTCAATAAGAAATAAGAACCCTCTGCAGTCACAAAAAGTTGGTGAGAGATAAAAACAAAAGAAAGGGCAAGTGTAAAGAGAAGAAACAAATCACATGTACAGTTTCATTCTTTTGCGTCATTCTCTAAATGCACAAGTGCATGATTGTAGAGTATCTAATTTGAGCTTTTTTTTCTGTTCTCTTACATTCATGCTTAAAAGAAAGGTTGAGTGTAAGGAGAAGAAAAAATCACATGTCCAGTTTCATTCCTTTGTGTCATTCTCTAAATGTACTAGTCTATGATTGTAGAGTATCTAATTTAGGCTTTTTTTCCGTTCTCATGCATTCTTGCATAAAAGAAAACAGCAATAGGGCCGTATTATTTTTATATTTAAAGAAGGTTCTTATTGTCTCCGAAAATGTACAATAATCTAGTGGCAAGGACCTCCTGCAGCTGTTTTTATGATTCTTGTTTACATGCTTGTCTTCACAGATAGCAAATCTTTTAGATTGCACTACATGGTCTGGAGCTGGACCAGGGCTAATGGATGCTGTCACTCAAGGTGCTATGCAAGCAAGAAAACCGGTCGCTGGACTCAAGATTGGAAGAGAACCGGGGGAGTGGACAAGTTCCAATGTCCATCCTTATTTACCTTCAGAAGCCTACTTTACTTGCAGGCAACTTACCACCATTGCTTGATTGCTTAGTCCTAGTTTGGCTGTGCTTTCAATAAAACATTTTCTTAAATGATGGAACTTGGTTAAAGTTTTTCAAGTATTTGCCATTAGGTTATTCAATAAACCTATAACATGAAGAAATTTTAAGAACATGTAGTCGTGAGATCTTGAGCTGGGAACGATTCGAACTTGTCACACTTCTTTTTGGCTAACTTGATTGCTAACACTTGTAAATTACAGCAATGTTTTGTCCTTCTCAAAAAGTGCTATCATAAAAAGGCATTCTGATAAACACAAGCAATGCCACAAATGCTTGGCTAATCTTTCAGAAAAGTACTCGGTATTCTCAAATTACCTAAAACGATACATCTAGAAACAGTATAATGTTAGATGATATTTTTAAAGCGAGGATTTTTGGAAGAAACGAAATTTTTTCTTTTCATCTTTCTTCAGAGAAGTTGCCAACTTCCTGCTTCTCTATCACAGCAGAATCAGAAAAATAGATTCTGCTATCACTTAACAGCTGATTTATGTCTTCACAAAAGACACGATCTTCTTCGAAAGAAAAGCATGCATTTTTTTTTTTTTTTAGTTTTTATAGATATTTTTCGGAATCGAAGGTTTAGTCTGATTTTGCTTTTCAGGTTTTTCTCCGCAAGGAAGCATGGACTGGTGGATGCTGCAGTGAGAAACGAGTCGTCTGATAAGACTGCCATGGTTGCTCTTCCTGGTGGTATTGGTACTCTGGATGAGATGTTTGAAATGCTGGGGTTGATTCAGCTTGAAAGGATCGGATCGAAGCTTCCCGTTCCCTTCATCTTGATGAACTATGATTCATTCTACTCGAAGCTGCTTGAATTTCTGGATTCCTGTGAGGATTGGGGCACTCTCCGCAAAGGAGAGGTTGCATCATTGTGGAAGGTTTGTGAAAGTAATTCACAGGCTTTGGCTTACCTTGCTGAGTTCTATAACATCTCTTGCAGCGATACAAGGAAGAAAGAAACTGCATTAGGAAGCATATAATACGGATAGGGGAATTTCTCTGCCCTTCAATTTTTAAACATCAAATAATTCCTTTTCATAAGCTGTTTGTTTGGATGGAAGATGATGGAAGGGAAAGAGGGGTTATATTCAAAGGTTTTTTCTTTTTTTCTTTTTGGCGATACTTTAATATGAGGGATAGGATCCTGAAATCTGTATATCCTTGTTGGTGAAAATCTTTTCACTAACACTAAAATTTCAATTCCCCCCGGGGGGAAGAAAATCCTTTTTTCAGAAACCCCAACATTAGGTTGGAAGAGAAAGTGACTCTAATCAAGGTGGAAAATTATCTATTAACAATAAATTTTCTTTCTAGCTCCCTCTCAGCTTACTTTAACGTTGGTTACTGAGATCAGTGTCAATTGTATTATTAGCTAATAGGCAGTCACTTGAGTTCTTAGAAAAATCAAAATGCTAGTCCAAATGTTTTGTATTCTTTCTAGTCCTAAATATAGGATATTTTCAACTACCTTGCACATTTTCAAAAAAGTTAGTTGCAATCATAAGCTCTTTAAAATATATTAGCCAAACTTCCACTTTTCTTTTCTTTTCTTTTTTTTTCTGGATGAACCGAAACTTCCACTTTTACTCTTAAATAAATTGAAGAAAAAAACAGATTACAAAATATTTAATTAAATGCACAAGAGTTAAAATAGAGAATTCATTTTAAATTATAGCAAAACACTTTATATGATAGATTGTGTACAGGTCTAAAAGGCACCTTATATATAAGACTTGAGGGAATATTAGATTAAGGATTTGGGATTAAATTTTCTAAGGAAAGTGGCATGCAAACTTTTTTTCATACGATATTACATGCTTTGACTTTAAAAATAACCCCCTCCCCAATGTTATGAACAAAAATAGCATATCAAACTCTTTCGAAGTTTGAAATAGAAGTCAAGATAGTCGTGTGGTTGCCATTCGCGCGCCTAGCAACCTTACGATAAAAAGATTCACACATAAGCTCACCAAGGTGTAAAAAACTTCACAAGCTTAAAGAACAGGTAGGCTAACCCATTTTCAAAGTAGCAAACACTAATAGACAAGATGGAATCATCTGAGTTTCATAGCTCATAAAAGCAAGGTCTTTTCTTGGGTCATGAGGCCACTAGGTATGGTTGATGTTTGACCTGGAGACTATAAAATACAGGTCCAATATCTTGCATTGAAGGCATCAACAAAGCCGCCCTGCTAAGCTTCAGCTGTTTCAAATAATTTCTCAATCTCAGCAATGGTGTTACGAGCTTCATCAATTTCAGGGCCTTCCTTCTCGTTTGATTCCTCCAACTCCGCCTGAAATTGAAGCAAACATTCTCATGTAAAACAGTGGCACCAAGTAAGAGTCCATTCTCCAGCAAATCCCAGACTTAAATGTTGGTATCGTTATTCTCAAAGCAGAGCGAGAAATTCAAAAAAGATAAAGACAAGCCATGAGTATAAAGAAAAAACAAAGAATATTGAGTAATTTTGCAGGGAAACCCTACTATAGACAGAAACTAAAAGATTCATAAAACATAAGAAGGGAAAAGTTGCAAAAAATGATTCCATTTTAGCATACTAACACAGAATATGATTTGTTGCCAGATGCCTTGAAATCATCAACTTTGTTTTATGTAACTATTCCTTGAATCAGCAGGAATCTAACCATATTCCTATACCAAACTCTTGCTTCTAATAATTAAATATCAACAAAGGGGTAACATCCTCCACTAATCCCAATCAAAATTGTAGGGTCAGAGTGATTTTGTTAATAATGCCAAGACATCAAAAGTTCAGAGTATCAATTTGGTAGAAAATGTTTGACATCAGACAACAGTAGAAAACTGAGACATAAGAAAAGCAAGAATAGAGTACCACTATTCCTTTTAAGTCTGCTAATGCAGCCTCTAGGCGATTGCGGCAGTCAGGAATCATCATCCTAGATTCAGCCAGTACATTTTCCTGTCCAAATGAGATCAACAAAATATACAACTATTAATTATATGAAAGGAACCTTCAATGATTAATATCCTATTTATTTATAAGAAAAAAGTGATGCTCCAATTCAAACATAATGCAATTGCAAAGACACGGTCCCTATCACACTTACCCAGCTCTTATTACAGCCCAAGTAAAATAGTAAGAGATCCATCTTACAAATCAAGAAGCTGAGAATATCGTTTCTCTTCTCACCATTCAAGTAGATAAGGTATTAACTTCAATTTCTGCCTCTACGTGTCTTTTAGTTAATACCTTATTTATTTTCGGTCTGAGTTTATGGATAATGGACCTTGGTATATCAGGAAGTGGAGAGGGAGGATCATATGAAAGTGAAGATTAAGAGTTAAGACAATGCTGAAGTTGCCTTTATATGATTTGAGTTGAGAGAGAATAGACCTCGGAATACTAGAAACTAATGAAGGGTCCAGTTTAAGAACTTCTGGAGTTGCCCTTAAATAAACTTACACCAGACAAGGCTTGACTTTCTCCTAGGGTGACAGGTACGGATTGATCTGACACCATTGCTACACTTGACCCCCCCTTTCTTTGGTTCAGAAAACACTTGATAAAATGTCAGGATAAAGTATCAACATTTTGTGTTTCATTTTAAATTTTAAAGGTACTGGTTCCAAGTCAGTGGCTTCCAATTGTACATGACTCAGATTTCAAAGAAAACAGGTTACATTTTACAAGAAGATGTTTCAATCTCATAGGTAGATTACCAACTTTTACATTAACTCAATTAAAAAATTTAACTGTAGATATATCTTACCTCCTCCCTGTCAACTAAAATAGCAAAACAGTGCAGTTTTCATCTCAAATAAAACTTCAGTGAGTTGAATTTCACGTGTCAGGATAATTTTACTTTCTTTTTGGCTACATTTCATCTTTGAACCTCAAACTGACAATTTATGTCTACGACCTTTCAAGAATAATAGATTTTTCTTATGTATATTACTTATAATGCATGTTATTATAGTAATGGAGGGTTGTACGTAAAAAGATGTAAAATATTCACAATGACCATGGGATTCTGAAAGAGTACAATAAAAATTTATAATTTTGAACAATCGTCTCTTTGTAGGAAGTCCCGATAAGTGTCCCCTCCCCAGTTCCCACTTCATCAACTGAAATGCCAAATAATGGTTTAAAATGGCACTGTGCTTCCCCAATGACTTCAAGAAACAGAAAATGGTAGTAAAATCATGCACATTAAAAATACAAAAAAGTTAGAAAAAAATGTTGGACCACAGAATCCTAAAAAAACCAAGGGTTAATTTATGAAACAAGAGGAAAGATTCCCAAAAGTGCACCATTGCTGAACAACAAATATGAATAAAACTATGTTCATAGACGGCTTATACTGCAGTAAAAAGCACAATCAAGCTGAGAAGAGTATGGTTTATATATATATATATATATGGAGGCACTGGTATGCCACGCAGTCCAAGACAAGATGGTCCATCGTGCATTGACCAGATAACAAGGTAGAAAAGGGACTATCCTCACTAATCATACAAAGACAATCCAAGGATATGGTACCGCAGAAATACTAAGCTCTAAAATTGCATCTGAATGGATAGCGAGAACGTATTGTTTTACCTGCTGCTTAAGGTCATAGAAGTCAGCTCCTTTCTCCTTCATGTCGGCTGTTTTGGCAGCTTCTCTCTCAACTTCTTTCTCATACGAATGAAGCTCCTTGACAATGCGTTTGCAGGTACTCGTCTTGATCTTCATACTTCTTATGGTAGCCATAGAATCCTGCAAGAAAGGGAAATTCTATCTAGAAAACGATTCTACAACAAGATCAATGAGTTGGGCAATGACGTAATGTAAAGCAAGATGCAATATTTTGTTGAATTATTTTATCATGGCCTTCTCAGTAATTAAACTTGACATCGCCATTCAAGGCCTTTAATTTTACAAAAATCATGAAAGTGCAGTAATTCCTCATCAAACACAGTGATCCAACCGAGTAGTTCTTCCAAGTGTGAAAATTGCATTGGAAAAAATAAAAAGGAAAGGCAACACGCGATCGAGAGTGGGAAAGAGAGAGGGTCTTACTACGAAATGTGACCGATAACGTGAAATTTCAACCAGCGCCTAAGCTTCGTCTTGTTGCTGGCTGCAGAATGCAGTGCCCTAGCAGATTGTCGGGGAAGAGGATGCAGCAGATCCGCTTCTCTGTCCTCTCTGAATCCAACGCACCGTTTACACCATGGAATTTTATTTTCATAAAAAATGTGGAGCTTGAAAAATCAAACCACAGGGACTAACTTGAAAAATGAGTGAAATTATAAAAGATAAAAGGATCCATTCCCCAAAAGAATTCTCAAACGTTTAAAAAAGTGGAAAAAAAATAAAATAATGCATTTTAATTTTTAACTCATGATTAATCTCATGCTTAGGTGGAATTTGATTTGCAACTAGATGCTAGTGGAAAGTGGAAACACAAGATATTCCATAAAAAGCAGCTAGAATAGAGATAGAAGAAGTTTATATATACAGTATTTTGAAAGGGATTAGTCTTTAACTATTTGTTAACAAATACTTTTAGTACCAAAAAAAAGATAGAAGTAGTCAGGAAAAAAAAAAAAAAAGTTAAGTATACTTGTCCCTAATGATAATGCATGCAATATTACTATTTCAAAAGTTTATTGCCATACGGGTCTATATCGTAACGTTAACATACAGATCAAAGGCCTTATTAATTCATGGGTAAGCCCAAATCGAACTCATAGAAGAAGCTTGACATGAGTCCAAGGATTTTTGGTTCCCCTAGAATTAGCTGCCAGAATTTCCCTTATCAACCATTAATTTATGCTCGGAAGCAAAAAAAATCACATTGAATGGTTCATTCAAGTAAATTATTTTTTAACAATGATCAATATGAAATAAATTATTATTAAAATGAGAACATACACTTGTTTTTTTTTTAATGAAACTTATTATTAATCATCAACTATAATAAGGTGCTTGAGTAGCCTTTGAATGTAGTTACCCTAAAAAACTTTGCTCATATAAAAGACGCATAGAGACATGAACTAATACTGTTAGTTTATGGTTCCTGTAGTTTCTGCTTTGAACGTCCAAATTAGGAAGCTTCATTTCTGGTAACAACTCAGCCTCTTCATCTACATGTGATATGCCTCCCATGTCCAAGCACTACAGGAGGATAAAAGCACACTAGATATTGCATTATAAGCATTGATTTAAATATATAATTATAAATATCAGAAGACATCGTTATTTTATGTTTGTGTGATATTACGTTTTTATTTTTAAATAATTTTGTATCATTATCGGTATTTTTTTTTTAATTATGTGCACCAAACTCGTTCTTATAAAATCTCCTATATGAATACATACATGAGAAGGGTCTGGGTTACTATATAAGACCATACGTAATCATATATAGAGTCATTATAACATCTACATGTGTCTGTTATAATAGAAGATTATATACAAAAAAATGAAGACATAATTACCAACAACAAAAAGTGCCAAAGAACTTTTATCCAAAAAAATAAAAAAATAAAAAGCGCCTTAAAAAGTTAAGGACTTAATTGGGTAATCCTAAAAAATACATTCAAACCAGATTTAAAATATGTTTTTATCAAATTCAATAAATAGTTTAATCTTTTAAATAAATTTTTATCAAATATAAATTAAAAATCAAATACACAGTAAAACTCTAAAAATTATTGATAATAAAGATCTCACTTTCGGAATGCAACAATTGAACTTGTGACCTTAAAAACTTGCTTTTTTTGGTACATGGGTCCCACAGCATATGCCACATTCCTTTGGCATTAGGCAATAATTGTAAATCAAAGATGTGCCGTCAAAAGGAGGGGGGAAAATCAAAGATGAATTATGGTCTCGTGTGTCTCTATTCATTTCAACAATCCGCTATTTCAACGATTCTCTAATAATATCTTTGAAAGTGTATTTCCCCTTTTGAAAATCATCCCCCCTCCTATTCTTACTAGAAGCAATTATTTGATTTCACACTTTCAAAAAATTATATTTTAATTATAATACAAAAACAATTAATTATAATATCCAGATCAATATAGAAGAATGTATCGTTTAGTTGAACTCAAATCAACTTTAGCATCCTCCACGTGTAAGAGATACCAAGCAATCACTCATAATTAACCCATGGTTTGTGGATTTTATTTTTTTTAACTTCTTTTCAGGTATGACTTCATTGTAGCCAGTTGCTTTTAAATCAATTTTGAATATCACGCTCAAAAGAAGATTTTGTTTCTACTCATTAAAATCAAACTCAACCTTCTACAAGATTGAGTTCAAATCTTACTATCAAGATAAAAACTTTATTGATAAATAATTCATAAGTATTTAAAAGTCATGTTTTGGCCTGATGAATTCCCGCAACTCAATTCCCATATACTTTACATGTATCAACCAAAAAAAAAATCACAACCTTAATCAAGAAGTAATTAGTTTTATTCAATCTAACCCCGAAGTGCTACTGGGATTTGACTAGTAAATTATTGACATCCAAAGCCAAAAGAGAGGGTGGCAGCGTTGCGCCCAAAACAGGAAAGATCAAGAGCAGCTGGGATAAACATAAAAGAAACAAGCTTGTGCGATTACAGCGTTAATTTATCATCCCTTATTACCTTGACATTTCAAAGTACACAAGCAGAAACCATACTGCAAGATGCATACATCAGTACATTTCACCACTATTGATATCATTTTTGGTTCTAAACTTTAGAGTCACCTGCCAACAATTTCTCTCTCAACCATCCATGCTACAAAGCTCAGCAGAAAACTCTTTTCAATATCCAAATTAGGAAGCTTCACTTCTGCAAATGACTCAGTATCTTCATGTACATGTCTGCTAGCTCAAAGTACCAAAGAAGAAACCACAATAGAACACTAGACAATACATTATTATGTTTCTCTATCACTCATATCAGGTTTAGTTCTATCATCTAATTCATTAGTCACCTGTCTGGATATTCTTCAACCGGTTAAGCAAAGGACAACATTTTGCTGTACCTTGTAGTACGGAGCCAGAGGTTGATGATGGGAGAATGAACTCTGATCTTACATGACGTATCTATCCTTTGGATTAATGTTACTTCTTTATTCAAAGCAAAAAAAAAAAAAAAAAAAGAGGACAACACTTTAGGTATTGTTCTTAAGATGTTTGTGATGTGTAATCCAATAAAAACATGACATGTCATGTATTTCGAAGATCAGTATCAACTGATGCATTTCAAAAAATTATTACATGTCATATTTTTATTGAATGATCTCATGACAAACACCTAAAGAAGCTTACTCATCTACATAAGCTCAGAAGAAAGCTCTACTCCCATAAAACACTCGGGAGCTATTGTTCTTTGATGATGCTGATGCTTGTAGTTTCTGATCTGAGCTCGAGTTTCCTGAACTGGTTGGTCCACTTTCAACATCCATATTAGGAAGCTTCATCTTTGCTAGAGATTCAGTAAATTGCTGCATGCTCTTCATGTACATGTCTACTATGTCCTGCTGCACCACCTTCGGTTCTGGCTCAATCTTCACAGTCACAACAGGCTTTGAAAATGAATCATTTGGCATCCCATTTGAGGAATCACTCTCACCATCTTTAGGATCCAGAGTTTTCTCTTTGGCTCCTGAGACTTGTTCAAGCTCAGATGAGTCTGAGCTTGCAGGCACTGAAGGAGAAGATGAAGAAACTCCATTTGTTGACACACTGCTCTTTGGCGAATCGACAATTTTTTGAGGTTGGGCAGACTCAACACTGCACGCTGAGAAGCTCTCTACAAGCTGAACACCTGCTTCATCAGAGCTATGGCTTTCAGCAGCATCAGAAGATGTAGTAAAGCTCTCCTCACATGGAATTCCAAAGTATTCTGAAACCATCAGGTGGTCTTCTTTCGCTATTTTGGGGTCTGGGAACTCAATCTTTTCTAAGTCTTTCGCCAGGGACTGACGAGTTCCCGAGTCTCTCTCAGTGACTTCCTCAGCTGGAACCACCATAACATCAGGTGAAGCTCCAGTGTATGCCAGAGACATGTGAACAAAACCTGCTGGTGAATGAAACAGATCAGTTGAAGAAAGAGAGAACTCTTTCTCTAGTGTCCCACCATTCTTCGCAAGCACTTCAGACAAAGGCACCAAAGCAAAGCCAAGAAGCTGGTCTTCTAGATAGTTCTTCACCCTGCTCAGCATCCATATCTCACATTTGAGAGAAGATTCCACAGTTCTAACGTTCAGAGAAAGGTTCTCATTAAACACAGGGTTCCTTCCACCTCCATTGATGATCTTGGTGGATGCAGTGTTCTCAGGGTTGCTAGTGAGGCAAATCTTCGCATAAACATCTTGTTTGTGGTATATGCAGATGTTGTGGATGTCCCTGGCTTGGTGTATGTAAACATCAAGAACACCAATGAAGTCTTCCACATTAGACATAACAGCTTCCCTCCCATTGACCTCAACGTCCTTTGACAAGACTGAGCTCTTGAAAGGTGATACCACAGATTGCGGAGATTCCATGTTACAGAAGGATAACTAGGGAAAAAAAATCAAGTAACCCTAATTTAAGACAGGCTTTAGCCGAGATAAAAGCCACATATAATTCACAACACTTGAACCCCCAGCGCTAAAAAACAGTAATTTAAACAAACCCAGCTGGGTAGAGCTAAAAATTTATAGATTCAGTACTTTGTAAAACCCACATAGTAAGTATATAATAGAAGCAAAGCTAGAATAAACTACTTTAAAACCTTGACGCAACGAGATCCGCCAATTGTTGGTGAAATAATATCAAGAGAAATGTAACACTCAATCTACTTCGACAAGTGAGAGAAATGGGAGGGTTAAACTTGAATTCCTTCACAATGTTGAAAGAGCAGAGAAATCCAAATTGGAGAACCAAAGCACATAAATCTCCTAGAGGGGCATGAAAGATTCTCAAGAGCAAGAATCCCAGGCCCCAAATTGAGAAAATAAGGTGAACAGCTAGAGTACAGCGAAACCGACCAAGTTAAAAACAAATAAGAATCAAATAAAAGACTTTATCAAAAAAAAAAAAAGAAATCAAATAAAAGAGCCAATTTTGATCAGACTCCAACAAAGCTACCACTACTACCTACCAATCTACACAAACAGTACTGCAAGAATCCGAGGGAGGGAAACAGGGAACGCAAAAGCGCAACGTTTCAAAACGAAGCCACTTAAAAATCCCCCTTCGAAATCCGAATCACCCAAAAACATAAAAACAAACGAACGGGAAAAAAAAATTGACAAAAGGAAACTCAAAAGAGCGAATAAAGGAGGAGAAAGTAGTGAGAATAGCTAGTGGATTTAAATTTATTTACCTGCTCTGCCTTCGTCGCCTCCAAAGTCAAAGTGGAGTCTGCTGTGGCTCTAAACCACAATCAACAGATGACCCAGTTCGCGAATCGAGGTGGGATTCATTGAAAGAGCAACCAAAAAGCCGGGCACTCGTAGAGAGAAAAAATCATGGAAATGTAAAAGAAGAGAATAAAATCTACTTCTTCTGAATGCAACTGGGAATTCAAGAGCATATTTCCGAGGATGTGTCCGTGGATATATAAATAGAGAGAGAGAAGAGAAGAGAGAGAGAGGACATTCTGTGTGGGGAAGAGGATGGGATAAGGGATAGACCGTCCCACGCGGTGGACCCTGAATGATGAAAATGCCAATAGGGACGAAGATGGGTGCGATCTGAACGCAGCGCTGGCATCATGCAGATGACTTTTTCGTCTCCTACCCTCCTACGCACTGTTTTAGGTACCGGTACTACCACACCGTGTGTGTGTGTGTGTGAGCATCAACATCCCTCTTTCACCTAAAGTTGGGAATAAGGTTCAAACTTAAATTTATAGGTGTTATTTAAATAAAAATTTAAATTTAAAAAATTATTTTTTTAAAAAAAATTGAGTTTGAAAGGTTAATTTTGATAAGTTTTATAAAAAAAAACTAAAGCTTACAGTAACCCTCCAAGTCCTAATAAGTTTGATTATTTTATATATATATATATACATACATGCATATATTTAATTGATAATAACACAATTTGATTAATATTTATTATAGGTGATCAAAAAAAAGTTGTAAAAGTAATTGATATTGAACTTCCACCTTCATCTTTAATAAATACACTTACATTCAAGGGATCTAATGTTTTCTTTGAGGATAAGGAAGATTTGGGTTTTGATTGATGAATGTGTATTGTTTAGATTTTTAAATATATTATTTAATTTTTAAAATATTGTGTGGATTTTAATTTTTTTAATTTTAAAATATTTAATTAATTTATAATATTTAATTTAATTTAATTTTTTATTTTTTTAATAGGACTTCCGAACTTGGTGCTAAACTCTTTACATAAGGGCGGGGCATTAAATAAGGAAGAGACTGAAAATGAATAATTAGGTTCAAGGACTTAGACATTTAAAATCGGGTCCGTATTCTCAACTATAGTCTCACCTGGCTTGCTGAAAAAATTAAAAAATAAATAAATAGGAAAAAGAAAAGAAAAGTTTTTTTTATTTTTTTCCTCCGTTGCTAGCCGACCCGTTGCTTGAGTCTGTTATGCATTAAGTTGAGGGGACTCGAGCTCTACTGTAGAATTTTGACGTTGTTGTGGTTTTAAGATTCCAACTCAGACATTACTAGTTAAACTCTAATGCATGGGATTAGTGATGAAGAGAAAAGCCTTTAAGCCACGATTTGAAGATGCACACTTTATGCAGCTGAGCATCTATACCAATTGATAAACGATTGTTTTAGTTTAACAAGTGATCTAGTGTTGAATTCCTATAAAAGCAGCATCAAGCCTCAACGGATGAGCTCACTGTCTGAAACGGTTTTACAATATCCCAATCTTATTTATAAAATATTTTTTAAAAATAACTTTTAATTTAAAATATATAATACTCTGTAATAAAAAGAAAATAAACTTTTCTTAAAATGTATAAAATGATTGAAAGATTCTATAATAAAGATATAAAGGAATACTCAATTTAAATTAGTCTAGATCTTTATTAAGTTCCTTTCACACAACACAGGTCAAACTCGTAACTTATTAACAATAATGTAATTATTATAATTCAATAAAAAATATGAGTAAAATACATTAACCCCTTTCACTCTTTTTTTTGGCCGAAATAATAACCCCTTTTTGTTTCTTTAAAATTATAGAGAATTTTATTTTATTTTAAAAACATATGCTTTAATTTAATTTTTAACAACATTAGAAATACTTCGTTAAAGATTCTAAAACACTCAATTTTTTATTTGTAATTATGTTAAAAATTTTAAAATTATTATTTGCCCATGTAATTTAATTGCCTATTCTCTCTTTCAATTTTAAAAACTTTAAATAAGTGTGTGGATATTTAAATAAATAATTTAATTTTTTGTTAAAAATAATGAAATTTTTTTAAAAAAATAAACACAAATTATATTAAGTAATTTATTGTATTTTTGCCAAATCCTTATTTCATTAAGTTTTGTTTCAATTGAGTTTGAAATATTATTTTAACCACTTTAAGCATTGAATGTTTTTTAAAATACTAAATAAATATGTTTCACAATGGAAAAAAAATTAAGATATAAATTTAAAAGTAAAAAATATATGCTTTATTTTGTTTGAGTAATTTGAATTATTTTTAAAAAATATTTATATTTAAGAATAAATAAGCAAACTACCCCCTACACTTTAAATTCAATAGCACCGTAGATCCTGAGTTTGTTCATTATACAAATTATTTCTTTAACTTTTGATAATGATGTAGTTTTTTACTATTAATAAAAGTTAACTTTAATTATTAATTAATTAAAAATAATAGAAAATAACCTCAAAAACTATCTAAAAAAGACAAAATTACAATAAAGAACTCAAAAAATTATAGACAATAATAAAAAAATTAGTTCTTTTGATGTGCTTTTTTAGATTATTTTATAGTCAATTAACGGTTAAAGTTAACTTTCATTAATGGTAAGGGCTTAATTATATCATTTTTAAAAATTAGAAAATAGTTCATACAATAAATAAGTTTAGGATTTATGTTATTATTGGACCCAAAATTTAAGGGATAATTTATTCATTTATCATATATTCAAAGAGAGGGTATTTTAATCCAATATATATAACATAACAGTCAACTAATAGTTAGGTGGATGAAAATAAAATATTAAAAATAGAGATGATGTTTGTATTTTGTAGCTATTCATGTTAGGAGAGGTTCATATAAGTTTCAAAAATATAAGAAAAATATATGTAATTAAAGTAAAAGGAAAACTAGAGTATTTTATTCTAAAATTATTAACGCTAATAATTTATAGTAAGATGATGTTGGAGAGTTACCATCAAATCACAAAGGGAGAATTACAGAGAGATCTTAAAAAGATCAATTAATTTAAATTAGATTTTAAGTGTTAAACTTTATAAAATTATAATTCAATCTATCAATTTTATAACTCTGTTATGATAAATTCGTAACATATATTTCAAATTTTAATAGAAAAATAAATTTTTTATTCTTCAACTTTATTAAAATTTAAAAAAATAAATTACAAATTTATCATAAAGCAGTTACAAAATTAAGAGATTGACTTACAAATTTTTAAAATCTGACACTTAAAATTTAATTTGAATTAATTAATTATTTTGGAATCTCTTTTTCATTCTCCCAATCTCAGTATTATTTAAACCTGAAGCGTCGTATAATTATATTATGGAAATAATTTTAAGTGTGATGCCATGATGCACCGTTCGCATTGATTAATTGATAAATAATACTACTTGTTGTATTGTATTATGTGCAATCTTTAATCAGCAGTGTAAATTTAAAATTCACGAGAAATCACGCTACTCACAAAAATCATAAGTGACGCGACTTGGCTCAAATTCTAAACATTTTTTATTTTCCATTTTTTCCCTTTTTCTCTCTGTATATATACAGGAGATGCTCGTGCAACTTTATACTCATTCTTTCCATTTTTTTTCCATATGTTTCAATTTAAAAGGGTTAGAAAGATTTAGATAAGCCAACGAAGGTAAATTCATCGAGGAATGGATTGGTTCATATTTCATACTTTAACAACATGACCTAAAATCTCGTTTCCAGTATGAAAATTTTGCTAGTGGCTAATTTATAAATACCTCATGAACTTATCTTAATGAATTTCGGCTCAACCCACTTAAATTTAAAAAAAATATAAAAATATATTTAAATAGATGCATCTTCCAACATCATGCATGAAAAAAAAAAATCTAATTCTTTATTCTAAAGTATGCAAGATTAATAAAAAGGTCTTAAAATTTGAGTCCTATAGCTACATTAAATACTTATTGATAGAGCTTGCTTTCCTTGTCGTTCAACCTGATTCAATCCATAATAGTTGGGATCTAAGGCTTTATTTGGTATATAATCTTAAGTTTGACGGAATTGACATTAGGATTAAGAGTAGGATTGAAACCTTAAAATTATGCTTATTGTGAAGTAATAGTGATAGAGAATACTTGTATTTATTTTATTCTACAATTAAATATAAATTATGAAAAGGCTACAATACTCCTTTTAATTAATAAAAATATTCCAACCTTAATAAAATCTATTCCTCTATCGTGATTTAACCTCGACCCTTCCTCCCCTTGTCACAATCACCATCTTCTTCATCTGCTACAATCACTCTCTTTTTCTAAGTTGTGGGTAAGAAGGATGGGAAGCAAATGCAAAGCTATTGCTTTGAGGCATTAAGGAAGGAAAAGGGGTGCACACACTTGCCTATAGATCAAATGGTACAAGAAATCTCTTTCCAAGAAAGTCATATCTCCATTCTCTAATCACATGGCTATGAGCAATAAAATCCTAATAACTCATCTCAATTTTGAGGAATAAGAATCTATGGAAGCATAGTTCATTGTACCTAACAATGAAAAAGTATTCTAACAATGTTTTTAACCTAATGGAGCTTCTCGACGAACTAATAGAGTTCAAGAGGCAAAGGGCCTTATGGCGGTGATGGAGATTCACAAATGCAGGGCTTCATAATGATGAAGATGATGCTCTATTGAGGCATCACAATGAGGTTGAGGGATAAAATTCAGAAGGGCATCTTGTCTAAAAATTATTATAAGCGAGGATATTATTGTCAACAAAATTTTCAATCCCAAGACTAAATTCTCAATACTAGCATAAGCTCTCACCAAAATCGATCGAGTGAGGGTGCTCTCAGTAGCTCTAACGACTAAAAGGTGCTTATTACTCCAGTGGTTATCTACCTTTGAGAGATAACTAGGAAGAAAGACTCGATGCAAAACTCTATTTCTTAGGTTAGTAGGAAAAGGCTTATGTCCTAAGCCCTTGCCCAATGGAACAGTGAACTAAGAATACATTGTTAGAGCTGGAGGGTGGATTGAGTAATCTCAAGTAAGTGGGATTGAGCAATTTCATGTTAACCTCAATCTCTCACACCAAACACATCAAGTCGTACCTTTTTCAATGTCAATTCCAAATCTAACCTTCCATTCTCTCGTACCAAATCGAGCCCTAAATAATTTTAAATATCAGGTGCATGCACAAAAGACAAAATTGAAAAAAATGCTGCCTTGAGCATATAAATTACTTTCACAATAAAAAAACTTATACTCCTTTCGATCCTA